CACGATGTTGGCCAGGCTGGTCTCAAACTCCTGAACTCATGATCCACCCGCCTCAACCTCCCACAGTGCTAGGATAACAGGCATGAGCCACCACACCCGGCCTAAAGTATCATTCTTATCCATTTATTACTTTGTCCAGTATCTACACGAGTTATAACTAAATCCTTACATAAAGTACCCAATTATCCAAGTCATTAAAAAAATGGAATGGACTTTGATCTAAAGGCTAATGACTATGTGACCAGCTCTGTGGCTATATTAATACAGGTCAGGAGGGGTCCCCAGAGGTTTAATTACTATCAAACAGTCAATCCCAGGCTTTACCTGGCTCATCTTGGAGCCAGGACTTCCAGTTCTGTCCCACTTTGAGGGATTCTCCAGCATCAGAAACATCTTGAGATGTTGCCAATTCACAGGGAAGCACAGAGCAGCATGTGAACATATTCCCATCTCCTCACCCCAGGGGCTAATCAGGCTGAGATACTGTCACTACTGACAGGTCTTAAGCCCTGCTGGTAAGATTTTCCCTTCATTGTTAAAATTCAGTTGAAAACCAAAATAGCCACTTACCTCAAAAACAAAAATAAAAAAAACGGGGTCTGATAAAGATATGTACATACTTTCCTGATCTTAAGAATCCCCTGGATCCCTTACTGAAGCACGAATTCTCATGGTCTACCCCAGACCTAGTGAATTAGCATCTGCAGGATAGGGGTCTAGAAATCTATATATTTTAACAAAATCCCCAGGTAATCATATGATGGGGCAATTTTGGAAAATACTATAAAGGAAACAGATATTTATCGGTGGTTGCCTATTAAGGAAACTGTAGACAGGCAGCTCTCAATTCAAGTATTGACTGTATTCTAAAAGTTCATTTCCAGTTGTTTGGATCTTGGAATACATTTTCCTAATGAAACGAAATTGAAAGTTGTTTGGGCCAGCTTTGAAAATCTATTAAATCTTATTAACAGATCTGAAAAATTGTAAATACAGTCTTTAATTTTCAGACCAATCATATTTCAAAAGTTGAAGCATATATCCTTAGAATATATTTTCCCATTGACATAACATTCTGAAAAGTGGTTAGGGCACCAAATTATATGCATTCCTTGTTTACAGTGCTTTGTATACAGATTACGCCTGATGATACTGAAAAATAAAATGAAGTATGGCAAGGGAGATTTGTCTTCCTTCTCTGGGTACATGGAACATAGGCAACCTTTGACATTCTTATCATCTCTCTCTTTGCAACCATTTTCTGCCTTCCACTGGCCTCAGCCCTGGTGCCAAAGGGCCACATGTTATCCACTACTAAAGCATCTCTCCTCAGCTTACCTATCCCTGCCTCATGCTTTACTCTTCCAAACTACCTATCTGTACTCCTCAAACCCAGTCAAAACTCTTATTTCCATGAGTTAATCCCATCTTGTCTTTTCAGCCATATCTCCCATTACTCTCTTTTACCCAATCAACAGAATCACCCTTTGGTTCCCCCAAATGCCTAAACTCTATTGCCTCTGCATCTTAGCACATAGTATTTTTGTGTGCAATGTATCTCACCAAAAACCTGTCCCATTCACCCATGGCCAAGTCATGATTCCAACTCATCCATAAAGGTTTCTCAAGCCCACTAGAAGTGATTTCCTTCTATAGGCTTTTATAGTACTATACCTATCCAGTGTTTCGTATGCCAGTTATACCTCAATAAAACTGGAAAACAAAATAAAATATGTCCTCTTCTAAAGCCTTGCCACAATATATCTTAAATTATAGTTATTTGTGCATGCTTTTTTTACCTTTCCCATGGGGTTATAAATTTTTTGGGAATATTTATGACTATGTGACATGTTTGTTTTAGGCACTGTTAGGTACATAACAACAACCCTACAAGGTAAGTATATTGTATAATGATTTTATTTATCTGGCTCAAAAATAAGTTATAGAAGGACTGGGACCTATGCTGTGTTCACCACAAAAATGCTTTGCACATAGTATATGCTCAATAAACATTTGTAGAAACTATGAGTGAATGAATGAAGTGGCACTATTCACTTTTTATGATAAATTGATCCTCAGCAAGAGTGCTTTCCCAATAGTTATACTAGCTGGTTTCAAATTCCAATTCTAGAACCTAATAGCTATATAACCTTGAGCAAGTTGATTACCTCTCTGAACTTCAGTTTTCTCATCTGCTATATAGGGATTATAACAGTATCAATCTCACACACCTGTTGTGAGGAAAGCCCTTGACACTGAACCTGGCACATGGTATGTGTGTGATGAATGCTAGCTGTGACTATTATTCTTAAAAAAAAAAAAAAAAAGACATAAATGGGAACCATTCAGACTGTGTCCTCTCCTCCTTACTCTCCTAGAGGAAGAGAAGAATGACTGTCAATGGCAAATGGCAGGTGCAGCATAGTAACAGCAAGAGGCAGCTTCATGCTCGGGAGAGAACACTACATACATCTCCTCCTCATGGTTTCTGGTGCTCCACATGTCCAGAGAAACTTCTGTAGTAACAAGCTATAGAAATGATCCCTGAAAGTATAGTCTTTATGACAGTTATTCTTAAGTTGCAGAGGTAACAGTCTCTAAAGTCCTCATTCTTTCTGAGAAAAGGCATCCTGTTACCTCTGTAACCCTCAGTATAGCTAGCACTATGTATTGCCTGTAATAGCGGTTCAAAAAACCACTCCACTAAATTTCTTCAGTGAAGCCATCTTAACCAAAACTTAGAAAGAAATCATTAAACAGGTCTAATGCACATGACTGAACCACCAAAAGTATTTTCACCCTCCAGGTGAATTTGTATTTTAAAAGAGGATGTTGAACACAAATGAATCTCTAAGTGGTGAAACTGCAGGCATGTAATAAATTGAAAACAAAACTTCAGACCTTCTAGAGCAGATTATCTGGGGGTAGTGGGCTCCATGCTAGCCCATCGAGGAGCTTCATGAGTCTGGCCGCTCATTTGGCCCAAGAACTGCTTGAAAAACAAGAATATGTCTTATCTGACACTGTCTTGATCACCTGGCATCGTGTCTGACATAAACAAATAGCCAATACATATTTGTTAAGTAAATTATCTGCTTCCGGTCTGTAATCCTCACCCTGCTTTTAGTTGATTCCATTTCTCTTTATGACCAACAAAAAATCAATCATGGTGACTGATGTTTTGAGAAGGAGGAAGTGAATGGTTTACTCAAGCACCCTCTCTTTGGAAAAGTAGTCCGACAAATACAAATGTTTTACTAAATAGTCATGCAGAGGGTAGATAATCCTCTTCTAATGAAGTATTTATCCTGTGTCAGTTCAGTGCAGCTCAAAGGGATAACATCTGAAGAATGGAGTTGTTCCCAGTCAGTGATACCTCATCTACTGAAGGCCTTGAGAGTCAACCTCCTTAATTTTAAAATATATATATTTTAGAAAAATAATCATAAAATACCCAGAGTACTGCCATATTTCACAGGACTCAAAAACAATTTCATTTTTGTGTGTATGTATTTAAGCACAGAGTAAAACACTTCCGAAGAGAGCTGTTTATTTGCACAGAAGTGACCCAAGGCCAGGCTGCACAATTAAATCCTAATTTTCTCTTCCCGAATCTCTTTCCCTGTCAATGCCAACTCCTTTCCCACCTGGAAACTGAATATCCTTCAACTCTTAAATCTCTGCCTCTTTTTAAAAGAGGAACAACTCATATTGGTAACTTCTGATTAAATACATATTAACTGTAGAGAGCTAGAAAATACAAATAAACAAAAAGGAGAAGTTAAAAATCATCCAAACCCTACTTCCCAGTGATAACTACCATTAACATTTTGGTGTATATTTTTCCAGGTATTTTTTTTCTTTGTAAGATTTTATGTGTATGTGTATATATATATATATATTATATATATATATTATAAGACATACTGTAAGTGAAAATGTAGGTTAAAAATATACATAAAATCAAATATATATATATTTATGTATATTTTTAACCTACATTTTCACTTACAGTATGTCTTATTATTCTATATCAATAAATTTTCTAAAGTAATGACTGGGTGTGGTGGCTCATGCCTATAATCCTAGCACTCTGGGAGGCCAAGGTGGGCAGATCACTTGAGGCCAGGAGTTCAAAACCAGCTTGGACAACATGGCAAAACCCCATCTTTACTAAAAATACAAAAATTAGCTGGGCATGATGGTGGGCAACTGCAGTCCCAGCTACTTGGAAGTCTGAGGCAGGAAAATCGCTTGAACCTGGGAGGCAGAGGTTGCACTGAGCCAAGATTGTACCACTGCATCCCAGTCTGCGTGACAGTGTGAGGCTCTATCTCACAGAAAATAAACAAACAAATAAATAAATCTTCTAAAGCATTAGTAAGTTACCCCCTCCTTTTTTTTTTTTGAAGCGGAGTCTTGCATTGTTGCCCAGACTGCGTGCAGTGGAGCAATCTCCACTCACTGCAACCTCTGCCTCCTGGGTTCAAACGATTCTCCCGCCTCAGCCTCCTGGGTAGCTAGGATTACAAGTGTCTGCCACCATGCCCAGCTAATTTTTTTGTTATTTTTTTTAGTAGGGACAGGGGTTTCACCATGTTGGCCAGGCTGGTCTTGAGCTCCTGACCTCAAGTGATCTACCTGCCTCAGCCTCCCAAAAGTGCTGGGATTACCAGCACATCCAGCCAATAAATTATCCTTTTAAAAAGTTTGCTTTTTCAGGCAGGGTGCAGTGGCTCATGTCTATAATCCCAGCACTTTGGGATGCCAAGGCAGGCAGATCACAAGGTCAGGAGTTTGAGACCAGCCTGACCAACATGGAGAAAGCCTGTCTCTACTAAAAATACAAAATTTAGCTGGACATGGTGGCACGCTTGTCCCAGCTACTCTGGAGGCTGAGGCAGGAGAACTGCTTGAACCCAGAAGGCGGAGGTTGCAGTGAGCCAAGATCATGCCACTGCACTCCAGCCTGGGCAACAAGAGTGAAACTCCATCTCAGGGGGAAAAAAAAATAAAAGTTTGCTCTTTCAACACAGAATGGAAGAGTAGAATAAACTGGAACAGGGAGAGACATGAAGCAGAGAACCAGAAAGGAGAATTCTGCAGTGCTTGAGTACAACTTTATGAAGACTAAAGTTTAGCTAGTGAGAAAGGGAAGAGAAAGGGGAGGACATTTAGAATGAAGAATCAACAGGCCTTGTTGATGGTTTGGGGAGTGAAGGAAGAGGAATCAGGAATGACTCCCAGGATTTTGCCTTGGGAGCCTAGGCCTAGGGAAAGCAGAGGTAGACTTCAGGGGTGAGCAGAATATAAGGTAGTGAGTTCAGTTCTTGACATTCAAGCAGTTAGGATTCTTCTGGCCACAAGTAACAGAAAACCTGACTGACTAGGGCCTAAACAAGTGGAAGTTAATTTTTCCCATAAAGCAAAATGTATGAAGACAGGAGATTCCAGAGTTGTGCAGGGCCCAAGAATGACATGAAGGAGCCAGGCTCTTCCCATATTTCTGCTCTAATACCTTAGAGCGGAGTGACGTTCTAATGCATTTCAATGTATTACTATCTCCCAACTATAAAAGTATCCTATGAGAATCTATCAGAAGTCTTCTTACATTTATTTGGCCATAACTATATTTTATGTAAACCCTAGACCAAGCACTGGCAAAGCAGAATGGCTTACAGATTGCAATTCTGTTGTCAAGGAAGAAGGGAGGGTGGCTGCTGAGTAGCCATCCAGCAGGGTATGCCCAGCTTTGTGAAGTTTCAAGTATCTTCGAGACACACAGAAGGAGGTATGCACCTCTCTGGTGCCTTGGAGGTAGAACTGCAGCTGAGTTGTAGAATTGGAAGTCTCCCATGCACAGGGGAAGCTGAGGAGCTATGGACATACATGTAACTGCCTCCTAAGGAGAACGTGGTGAGGAAAGAGACAACCCTGAGGAACAAGAACAAAGAAGGTAGAATAGAAAAATGAGCTCAAGCAAGGGCCTAAAAAAGAGCATAAACACAAGGAAGAAGAAAACCAGCAGAATTCATGAGAATCACAGGAGAGTTTTTTACATTTCTGAGAAAAAGAAAGTGATCATCAGTATCAAATGCTACAGAAAGACCAAATAAGACAAATACTTAACAGCACCACCTGGCTGTGGCAATTAGAGAGATTGGTACACTGGAGAGAGTCGCTCAATAGGAGCAGAAGCTAGATTAAAGGGGACTGAAGAGTGACTGGGAAGTCACTAGAGACCAGGAAGCCAGAAATAGCTAGTCTAGGCTTCTATTTCAAGAAGTTTGTCTGCAAAAAAAAAGAGATGCAAAGACAGTAGCTAAAGAGGGGATCACTGTGTAGGACACATGTCTTTATTAATATTAGGAGAAATTTAAGCATATTTATATAATCATTGGAGAGACATAATAAAGATGGAAAAGCTAAATTTAAGAAAGAGGAAGGGCCGGGCGTGGTGGCTCACGCCTGTAATCCCAGCACTTTGGGAGGCCGAGGTGAGTGGATCATGAGGTCAAGAGATCGAGACCATCCTGGTCAACATGGTGAAACCCCATCTCTACTAAAAATACAAAAAATTAGCTGGGCATGGTGGCGCGTGCCTATAATCCCAGCTACTCAGGAGGCTGAGGCAGGAGAATTGCCTGAACCCAGGAGGCGGAGGTTGTGGTGAGCCGAGATCGCGACATTGCACTCCAGCCTGGGTAACAAGAGTGAAACTCCTTCTCAAAAAAATAAAAAAGAAAGAAAGAGGAAGTCTCTACGTCAAGAATGGAGCAAAGATGACAACTATGACCCAATAGTGCAGTCTTCAAATATTGTTTGGAGGGACTCTGAACTCAAAAGATGACAGAAGGATAGGGTACTGTAAAGCCACAAAGACAAACCTTAAAAGGGGAGAGGTCTGGGGCAAGACTGAATAGTGAAAGTCCAGAAGTAGCAGCAGAGTGCTTGAAGAATGCCAACAGCACTTTGGGAAAATGAGCAAACTCTTGTTTTTTTTTTCCTTACTAAGCAAAGAACTTTATTAACCTTTGTTTCAAACTTGGTCCCCAGGCTTTTTCAGCTTAATCAGCTGCAAAGAATGAATTGTGAATAAGCAAAAACTGAAAAGAGCTGCAGTGTCCAAGGGGCTTGAGCTTAAAAATATTAGAGATCTAGATTTTATCAGATCCATAAATAAAAATTTCTTAAAAAGCAGCTCCTAGTAACTTTTTCAAGTTTTATCTTCAGAAGTTGACTCAATTCAGTTGGCCTCATTCTTGGAAGCCTCATCAAAATTCTCCACAAGATCTGGAACTTCATCAGCATCATTCTCTCCAGTAGCAAGTGGTGCCTTTGCATCCACAGACTGTTTGGGCAGAGCTTCAGCCAGTCTCCTTAAACTGGTCAGACTGTTTGCACCAAGCTGGTTTAAGATGTTGGGTAGCATTTCTGTCAGCTGCTTTGTCTCAGCATGGCCTGTAATGGTGAAAGTGTTCACTGCCAGAGATGCCTGAACTTTAGGGTTGTTAAAGTGGATCACTGTTCCTTGGTTTGTAAACATATTCACCTCTTCAATACCAGAGATATTGTTTACCCTTAACTTCCTTAAGGAGAACTGAAGTTTTTTATCATCTGCTATGGCTGCTCTATGAACCACCTTCTTCTTTCTGCAAGCAGTTCCTTTCCCATCAATGTGCACTTGTGCCTGCAGTTTCTCGAGTTTTTCCTCGTTCATGATTGTTTCTTTCATCTTGTCAGAGCAGACAAGGGGCCACACGGGGGACTAGGGTTGGTGCTCAGGAGGTCTCAGGTGGACAGCTTGAGCAAACTATTTAAGAGGGCCACAAGCAAACAGGGTTCTGTGGGAGAACCATTCTTTAGGCATAGATGGAGAAAAGAGGTGGAGGATATTGTGGGATTTGGTTATAACAGGACATAGATTCTAAGGAACACAGAGGAAAGAGTTAGAAAAGAGGTCTTTAAGAAGGAGGAGAAATGGTAGAGACAAGGAAGTTCAAAGCTAAACAGGGAGGGCTGCTGGTCAAAGGTAGAGGGCTGGTGACAGGTCTCAAAGACAGCTGGAATGCCTGGCATCCATGCTCTGATAGAACTCCAACACATGGTCAATAGCCCTGTAACCTTTTGTTACAGTTCCAATTAGAATATTAGAGATATGTTATTAGAGGAGACACTTGAAGAGATGGATGCCATCTTTTCAAATGGCTCTGTCTTTCCTAACACTCAGTAAAAAGAAAGCATCTTTATTTCTAGGAAAGAATATGTAGGGTTGGCTACTAAATAGTAAGTTTCCTAATAAAGAGGGTCTCTTGTTCTCAGGTCTAGTCTAGGACCTAAAAACATATTTACAACCGTTTTTTACATCATTGAACTCAGGCAACATGCCAGCACCATGCTAGACCTTTTTATTTTTAGTGACTATAATACCATTTATGCCTTTAAGGAACTTATGATCTCTAGAAATATGTATTCTAAGGTCTGAGAAACTGAATTTAAAATGAATCTATGTTCCTGATGTGTGAAAACAGTGCTTCTCAAATGTTAATGTGCATACTGTATAAATAAACTTAGGATCCTATTAAAATGCAGATTATGATTAAGTAGGTCTTGTTTAATGGAGCCTGAGAGTTTGCATTGCTAACAATTTCCAGGTGATGCTGTAGATGATGTTCCATGTTGATACGTGGAGCATCCAGGAGCTAAAGATTAGCAAAAACAATTTCTCATCTCATCTTTTCTTGTTTGCCCTATAAAGTTCTGATAATCTTTCCTCCTTTCCTTGCTAACCCTCCTGTCCAGTATCCATTTTTCTAACTTAAAAAGTCAGGGGGTGAGGGCAGGAGCAGGGAAGGGAAGCCAGAAAACCTCATGAGGGGCTTTTTCTTCTAAGCAACTATTAGCTACATACACGGCTTTCATGAATATATCAAACACCTATCTCATGTGATTAAATACTTCTGTGGATCGACTAATATTTCAAACAGGGCACCTAAATATTCAGTAGAAGAATAAGAGACTGAGAACAGCAATTAATTCAAGTTATGCCATACGGCAGCATAGAACACTGGCTGGAACCTGAAAACTCAATTTCACAAGAGTCTTACTTATTCTGAATTTTAATCATTTTAGGATCAGCAAACATATGCCTATCAACCTGCTCCATTTACACAAAATTTTGAAGCATAATCACAATGCACACTCAAAAATGATTGGTTTTTCCCAAATGGACTTAAAATTTCTCTCCTCCCAGATTCACAAAATAAAGTAGCTGCTGACAGCTCCAGTTTAATCTTCCTGTTCAATATAATCTTCACACAGTTCTTTTAAAGAATAGTATCACTTGTTTCCTTACCATTTTCATCATCAGCTCATGATATTGCACGAGTATAATTTTCTCTGGCCTTGGATTTCTCAGCTCTGTGTTGGTTCATGAACCCTCCTATCCCTGTGCACTCTCTTTCCTCCACCATGCCTGTCACTGATGAGACACCCATGCCACCACATTCTTCTATCTCACCACTCCAGAATGAAGATTTTATCATTTTCAACATATACTTCATCCCCAGTCCTCTTAGAACTAACATACCTTCATGTCTCCTTTACATCTAATAATTTCCAAGATAAGGACAGAAAAATCTGTTCTTGCTTTGTGAACTTTTGTCTCTGGTGCTTGAGAGACTATCCTAATATCCCCTGAACATGTTTTAGTGATAACATTTGCTGCACTAGGGCCAAAATGATTTTCTGCCACTTTCAATTCTAGTTCAATAAAAGAATAAGAGCTTTGTTTCTAACCTCTGTCATTTTTAATATCATAAAATGATTTTTAAATCGTAAAATTGAGTTCCATTTCCTACTGGACTACCAATCTCATATTAGCTTTCCTTTTATCAAATTTATGAGAACAGTCAGAAATTACCTTTCCTTTTTTTAAAAAAAATAAAAATTTCAGGATACCTCAGGTAGAATGTTTGAATTGAATTTGAGCTCTTAACAATTGCTGGTGTAGAAGTTTTAAAGAAGTACAAAAGTTAGCTACATCCTGCTACTTATGTCAGAAATAACAAACTGGAGGATTATCCTCTAGTTCAGTGTTACCCAAAAATAATAAGATTATTCCTAGAAAATTATCATCCTTGCAAACCACATTTCCATATGAAGGAAGTCTATGATTTTCTGAAACCAGAGTGAATAAAATCCATGGTTTCTGAAATGCAAACTCAAACCAATCAAATATTTTTCATAACATGGTATTATGGAGCTGAGTGCACTGGCTCACACCTGTAATCCCAGCACTTTGGGAGGCTGAGGTGGGTAGACTGCGAGGTCAGGAGTTCGAGACCAGCCTGGTCAACATGGTGAAACCTATATTTTAGGTCTCTCCTAAAAATACAAAAATTAGCCAGGCATGGTGGCATATGCCTGTAATCCCAGCTACTCAGGAGGCTGAGGCAGGAGAATCACTTGAACCCGGGAGGCAGAGGTTGCGGTGAGCTGCTGAGATCGCATTATTGCACTCCAGCCTGGGTGACAGAGCGATACCTCGTCTTGGAGGGGGAAAAAAAAAACTTCATTATATTATGAAAATTTTCAACTCTGAACAAAAGTGAAAGAACACTCATGTACACCCACAATCTAGTGGGTATATTCTGTGATTCACATTTTATTTGCTTTGTCATATATCAATCCATCCATATTCTTTTTTATATATTCCAAAACAAACTGCTCAAATTAGTACACTCCATCACCAAACAATTCAGCTAGACTTCAACATCTGTTTACAGTTCTTTTAAACCAATAATCTTTAAAAGATGCCACTTCATTTTTTTAGTGGCTTGGCTAAATAAAATTCTAAATTCTAAATCCTAACATTTAAGCAAATTCTGTTACTTTGAGTAATTTCTCACATATCAGTTCTCTCATCAACAAAAGAACAAAGGCACTTGGTAAACATGATAGAAGGTCTAAATTACCAGATTGTATGGGCCTTGTGGTTATGGTAGAATTTACAAATGAGTCACTCACTAATATAACTTAGAGAAATAGCTAATTGGAGATTATAGGGGCATAAAGTTTTCTGTAAATTATAATGAGAACCTCAACAAGGTTCACAAACTCAAGAGGGGGCTTGAGTTTGAGCATTTAATTATAATATATCTCATATAAACCACACTGTATCTGTGATAAAAACTACTAGAAGCTGGACTATCTAAGAATGGTTCACTACAAGTCCGGATTTTGTAACAACAAAGCACCACATCAAATTAGAGTTTTCTTGGCTTTGCCATTACTGATTTATGAACTTTATTAATTGTCTGACTACAGTAAGAGTTGTCACAGGGATAGCACTTCTTTTATAAGCTGTTTGTTCCCCTACACTAATTTTTTTTTTTCTTTCCTAAGATTGGCCCTGGCAGGGACACCCTTTGAAGCCCAAAGAATCAAAGCTACTATGAAACGCTGCTGAGAGTTTTGAAAGAAATATGAAGAAACTACGTCACACCTGGGGCGATAGGCTGAGATTTTCTCAAACAGGTCAGCAGTTGGTCTCTAAAATATTCCCATTGCCAAGGAGGCAGTGACATCTTGTGTAAATCAAAAACTAAAACCCTAACATATCTCATTTCCATTTTAAATGCATGGGGGCTAACCAGCACTTGAGAAGTTTCTGTGGGATTGATTTTTTTTTCCCATCTTCTCTGAGCCCTTTGCTGAGCGTGATAAGCAGGACTGCCTTTCATTATCAATCCTGCTAGCTTCAGAGAAACTAGATGAGGCTACACAGTAGGAGAGAAGATCCAGAATCCAAAGAAGAAATGATTTACATGGTGTGATTGTAAAAACCCACTTTAGGCCCAACTCATTTTCAGCAGAATCGTGAAATAAAATAAAATCCCAAGAAATGAAATTTACTGCATCACATTCCAAATTTTTTTTAAAAGTCATAGGGATACAAGAAAAGAAATCAAATAGTTTTAAGGTTTGGTTGGTAATATTTGCATTTTTGTAGCATTTATTTAAAAAAAAATTCCAAACAACATTTTGCAGAATCAACCTAAAAAGAAAACATATGATTGTCATTAGGAGAATCTTCAAGTGACTCAGTATTATAGAAATAACATCAGAACAAAGAGCTTGGCTCCTGAAAGTTGGGCCAGTGCTCTTGCATTTCCCTCCCCTCTGCTCCAGTTTCCCCGTAACACGAAAAGTTGATTCAGGGTGGGTCCATATCAGAAACAAGAGAAAACATGCAAATTAGAGAAAGCTACCATCAGGAAGGTCCCAAGCCACAGCACAGGCTCCTAGAATCTACCAACAGATAAATACAGAGAGGCCTTTTTCATTGGCTTTCCTTAAACAGAGAAAATAGCGTAGCTCTGGGACAAAAGACTAGCTCCAGATCAAATGAGACTTAAAATCAAAGCCAAAGCAAATGGCGATAAAATGAAGGCAGTAATTTCATACAGATGATCTTTTCATACACTATATGAATTAAGAGCTTCCATCTACAGACTTCAAGGCTTCAGGTATTAAAAAAAGAAAAAGATACAGGATTTTCTGAGACCAAGACAAATCCATACTGAGTAGCTAATAGGAATGTGCCCAAGAGACGGTGATGGCTAAAATATTATCAGGAGTAAAGCAAATTTCAGTGACCTAACTGTATATAGAGTATGGCTCAGCTTATTATTCTAATGGGTCAGTCACACTGGAAAGGTGCAAATTTAGTTACTTGCCTGTGTTCTAGCTCACAATTCAAAACTCCTTTTCACTTTTAATAGAACATGTTATTCAGTATGCGGAGCTCAGTACTGGGAAGAATTACACATGATCTAGTTTTGCAAGTGATCTAAAAACTGCCTTAAAAATACATTTTCCTAGGGATAGTGGCTCGTGCCTATAATCCCAGCACTTTGGGAGGCCAAGGTCGGCAGATTGCCTGAGGCCGGGAGTTTAAGACCAGACTGGCCAACATGGTGAAACCCCATCTCTATTAAAAATATAAAAATTATCCGGGCATGGTGGCACATGCCTGTAGTCCCAGCTACTCTGGAGGCTGAGGCATGAGAATCGCTTGAACCTGTGGAGGTTGCAGTGAGCCAAGACCACCCCATTGGCCTCCAGTTTGAGTGACAGAGTGAGACTCTGTCTAAAAATATATATATCTAAATATATATATATTTTTTCTAAATGTCAATCTAAAATCTTAAAGATATGAAACGAAAATATCATAGGTATGATTTATTCTGAACCACCATGGACTATGATCATTATTACATGAAAAAATGTTATCTAAGAAAAAATTTTCTACTTCCAGATAGCCTCACATATGAAAGAATAAGCAAAATAATCATTATGATAAAATTATAAGGAGAGTTATACATTTCAAAGCTATTTTGAAAGGACAGAGATTTTCAAATCCTGCTAGCACTGCACTTCAGAGAAACTAGATGAGACCATCTTCCTTTCCAGGTCTTAAAAGTTAAGCCAAAAGATAAGACCATCTTCCTTTCCAGGTCTTAAAAGTTAAGCCAAAAGATCAACAGCAAGTAATATTCTATCACTCTCACCTGCAGGGCATTTCAGATTAAAAGAGCAATAAATACAACCTCTCACTCCTAGAGAAGTAGATTCACAGAACTCTTCAACTCAATTGTGAAATCTCAATATTCTTTCACTAAATAACAGAGAACTAAGCAGAAAATTTGGTTGATATAACTGATGATTTGAGAGATAGGGTTGAAGTTGTGGGGTTTTGTTCTTTCTTCTTGTAAGGAATGGAGGAAGGGACAGGACTGAAAAAGAAAGAGTTATTAACCTTCTGGGTGTGGTCAAATTATGGCTATGACTTGTGAGCCTTCTCAGAGCTATTTAAACTTAGATGCATCGTGCAAGTACTTCCTACTTTTTTTTTTTCTGCATTGGCACTGAAACTCCAGAACAAGTAGCAAAATTAAAGAACAGAAAAAGATGTTATGAGCAAATCTCAAAACTTGTGAATAACACAAATGTACTAATAGCACATTATACATTAGTTCTTTTGATAAGCATACTTCATTTGAATGTGTTTTGTTTTGGGGGTTTTTAAGCTCAATAACATTTAAGATAAGTAAAACTCCCTATATCATTAATGGTAATTGTATTTACAATATACTACTTCAAAACTCTTGCTCCCAAGAGTTTTATCAGGCTAACTCCTTGTCTTTCTTCCTATAATACAAAAATATCAGAATTATACATTCTTAAGCTAAATCTTGTTTTATAGCTAAATCCGTGTTAAGCTGAAAAGAAAATGTGAAATTCCCGAAGAAAGGCAGAATTATTTTTATGATGTTTCACACAGAGCTAGCTATAAGTTAGCCACCCACAATGAGACATGTTCAAGACATTCTTTCAGCCTATTCTTTAAATGTCCTGGGGTTTGTGCCACAACCCTGTTACACAAAGGTATTTCTTTTTTCTTTTCTTTCTTTCTTTCTTTTTTTTTTTGAGACAGAGTTTCGCTCTTGTTACCCAGGCTGGAGTGAAATGGCAGGATCTTGGCTTACCACAATCTTTGGCTCACCGAAACCTCCACTTCCTGGATTCAAGCAATTCTCCTGCCTCAGCCTCCCGAGTAACTGGGACTACAGGCGTGCGCTACCATGCCCAGCTAATTTTTGTATTTTTAGTAGAGACGGGGTTTCACCATATTGACCAGGATGGTCTCGATCTCTTGACCCGCCTCGGCCTCCGAAAGTGCTGGGATTATAGGCGTGAGCCACCGCGCCCAGACTCACAAAGGTATTTCTTTATTTCTTTCCATCTCAATATGATATAAATCTCCCGGTCTCTTTGGAACTCCTTCAGCATTATTAAGTTTTATGGAAGGAAACAATGTTCTAAGTTTGTTTCCATTGGCTCTGTCCTTCACTTCCAACGGGGAGCATAAATGACTAGTTATCCCAAAAAGGGCCATCAAGAGAGAAATTAAGCCATATCTCAATAATAAGAATATTCTATTTTTGGCTGGGTGTGGTAGCTCATGCCTGTAATCCCAGCACTTTGGGAGGCTGAGGCAGGCGGATCACCTGAGGTCAGGAGTTTGAGACTAACTAGCCTGGCCAACATGGTGAAATCCTGTCTCTATTAAAAATACAAAAAAAAAGATTGGCCAAGTGTGGCACTGCGTGCCTATAGTCCCAGCTACCTAGGAGGCTGAGGCACGAGAATCACTTGAACCCGGAGATGGGGGTTGCAGTGAGCCGAGATGCACCACTGCACTCTAGCCTGAGCAGCAGAGTGAGACTTAATCTCAAAAAATATATAAATATTTTTTTCTTTATCCCTTCCCCCACTCTCAATGTATTCTTGCTGTCAGATGGCCTCCACTGAATCAAACATTTAAAAAATGCTCTCCTGTTTCTCCCAGTGCATTAGAATGCCATCACATTTCTGAGCACAGATCATGTCTGCTTCATTCCAGGTGTTTCACATCTGGTGCTAATCCTGCAGTGACCACCGTAATAAAGCAGGAGGTGCCTTTGCCTGGCTTTCATCCTAACCATTCTCCAAAGGGCTCAATGAAAACTTGGACTTGGAATGTGAAAGCTGTTTAGTTTTTAAGGAGAAGGTTTAAACGAGGAGGCAGTTTGAAGAAAAGAAATGAAAATCACAGCTTAGGACATCAAATACCACAACAGGGCTTCATTTCCTTGGAATCACAGAAATTGCCATCCATTTTTATTTTGTGTTACATGGAAAATATTAGCCTTCATTGGTAACACTTTCAAGCAAAAAAAAAAAAAAAAAAAAAGAAGCTATGTAGAGATATGATTTTATTTTTTGTTTCTAAGTTTAAAAAAAGAATAGCTATTTTTCGTTTCTAAGTCTAAAAACAGAATAGCTAAAGTGATTTGTACTGAAAAACTGATGATCACTTGGAGAACACCCACGATTCTTGACACAATTGTCTTTTCCTATGGTCATTCACTCTAGACCACAAAAGGCAGCAAAAAGCACATTCTAACAGCTGTGATAGAGTCAGATGCTTCCATTTACAGCAAGTCCACAACCATGGCAAATAACAGTGAATTCCAAGCCAGCCGTAAAAATCAGAGCTAAGCCCCTAGAGTTTACCAAGAATCAGAGGCAGTGGTATTTTTATTTCTCTCCACCCTTTTATTTCTAGAAAAATATGCGCTGAAGAAAGAATTAAAGGAAGCAAGAAAACAACAAGAGTGGGACATTGTAAAAAATATATATGTATGTGTAAATATATAATTTATATTTATCTAGTTGTGGCTTTTCCAGATTATCTTGCTAGAGATTTATCTACCTTCCAAATAAGCCTTGAAGTGCTAAATTATAGTTTTAGATAGGTTTCCCCCCTCAAATTTACCAAACTCCTAAAATATTATTCTTTTAATCTGACTAAAAATAGGCCAGGCACAGAGACTCAGGCCTATAATCTCAGCATTTTAAAAGGCCAAAACAGGAGAACTGGTGGCACCAAGAGTTCTGGACCAGACTGGGCAACATAGTGACACACTGTCTCTGCAAAAAGTAAAAAATTAGCCAGGCATAGTGGTGTATGGCTACTTGGGAGGCTGAGGCTGGGGGGTCACTTGAGTCCAGGAAGTGGAGGTTACAGTGAGCTGTGATTTCGCCACTGCACTCTAGCCTGGGCCACAGAGTGAGACCCTGTCTCCAAAAAAAAAAAGACTAAACTAAAACCTTTCAAATGATTTTCATTAATTTTAATTATTTTCATGTTACTGTATGATTCATGTATTTGTCTTTTTTTTTTTTACTTTTTTTTTTTGGAGATAGGGTCTCACTCTGTTGCTCAGGTTGATGTGCAGTGGCATGATCATGGCCCA